GTATAAAATGTCAATAGTACAGTTTGAAAATGTCAGTTAATTATAGATTTAATTTGTTACGATTTGAAAATAGAAATGCAATTTAACATCACTTTTTGTTATTTAAGAATTAGTAATTGTTGTGATAAAATAAATTACAGCAAAAACTTGAATAGTGCGAATTCACTAAAGTTCGGTTTGGAATTTCCAAATAAATTCTAAAGAATTAGTACACAAAATTATTTTTTTCTCTTTATAGAAATCTGTTTTGATGCTTCATATTATGTATTTAGCCTCGATTAGTCCGGATTTAAACAGTCCAGGATATTGGTGAAACTAATATATACACGTGCAAAATTCTTTAACAAAGCTAAGAATAACATGATTTAACTGTATCTATCTTCTCGTTTGATTAGTTCTTTAATTGTATGTTATTTTTATGTAATCAAGTTTCAAGTAAAATTATTTACGTATTTAGTCCCTCGATTAGTCCGGTTTCAAACAAATCACTTAACAATAGTATTAATTTGCTGTTACATAATTAATCAAAATTAATATAAATTGCAAATGAATAAATAATATTTTCGCAAAGAATTAATATAAAAAATTCCTCAAACATTGAAAATGCGATGATTTTACTCTCATATTATTGAATTACAATGTATGCTTTAATAGAGTCTGTTTTTTCAAAATTTTATCATGAAATGCAAATCTGATTTGAAATTAAATCAGAACTAATAAAACCCGAACATTTAATATGTCAATGCATACGCATTAAACTTGTTACGGTTAAAAGCTCGAGTTTGCAAAATATCTCTTGCAATGAAATAGCAATAAATAACATGCAACCTTCAAGAACTCATTGGTCGTATAACGAAAATACCTTATCTGGATAAAGAAAAGAAACAAAGTGTAACGGGAATTGCTTGCATAATATTCAAAATAAAAATATGTGCTCAGCACGTGATAAACGATTCCCAAGAGATTAGCATGCAAATATTATTGGAAATTAAATCTAACATACACTGAGAGATAAACATAAATTGGTAAATTCCAGTTTGTATGCAACATTTACTGTAAATATCCTTAAAGTAATTAAATGCCAACGCAATCCAGATTGAATGAAGAAGCTTAGTACTATATAAAAAAAGTGTTAATAAATACGGAAGGCTTTTACATTCAATAAGACAATAACGAAAGTAGGAGAAGAATGCTGTTTTAATTAACTCCGATTAGAAATGGACGAACCTCTGAAACTGGAGCATGCAACGACTTTGCATTTATTTCAACAAAAAAATAGAGTTTTAAGCTAAACCAGTTTATAATTGAGATTACTTCGAATACCTTGATCTATGCATTCCGAATTAAGATAATATTAGCAAGAACTTAGTTTATTTGAATAACCGCATTTATTTAATTGAATTCTAAGGTACATTTTTTTTGCATAAATTTGCTGTTACATAATCAGTTCTTTAAATCTAATTACTCTTTCATTTACTTGTATATAATTTAAAGAAATATTTCAAACTAGATTTTGTAACAGATCCTTCGTATAGTTCGGCTTCGATCAGTAGAAAAATTGTTTAAAAATTATTTGTTTAATATATAAATAAACGTTTGTTTTTGCTTTAAACAGTCAAGTATTTAGTTCGTTTTCATATAGTTCAGGATGAAGCTGAAACAGAACTAAATTACTACATTTTTTTCAATTATTGGTTGTTAATTTAACATTAATTTTATCACTTTGTAAAATTGGATTTTTTTTATTATACTATACATTTTTTTTTGTTTTTTGATAAATAGTATTTTGTATATTAATGCATGAAATTGATTCAATTTAAGTAGTGCAAAGTGAGATTGCAGATGTTGTAAATTGGTTATAATTATGGTAATTGAAAAATTGAGAGAAATCTCACCAAAAGATTGAACTATATTTAAAGTGGATCGCTAATTAAATTACTAACATTTTTTTACAGTTAACATAAATCACTAAAAAAAAATCTATTTACTTAACGTATTTTTTTCTTCTTTCGCAAATCGAAGCATTTGTTCCAATTAATTTTAATGCACAATAACGTCCATATGTTGAATACAATTAAGTAATGATAATAGTTGTATTATTTAATGGTAAATAATTAAAATATCTGAAATTCTAAAGAAAATAATTGTAGTTATGTAATATAAAATTTACACCGGCAAGCCAGATGTTACTATACTTTTTTCTTTAGTCGAATAAAGAGTGAACAGTTTTATGTTCAGGTGATTCGTATACAAAAAAGAAAGAACAGCGATAGAATAAAAAGGCTATGATATGTAATGTAATGTAAAACATCGCGCTTGTCTTCTTTATAGTTTTTCTTATTCTCTGCAATTCCCCCTTTTTTTTCTTCTTCCGTAAGATCGGATTACGTATGGATGGTAAACAGTTATCGAGCTCGATTTTCGTCACGCCAATTGCGTCAATAAAATCCCACACACAATCGCGAGTTGTGCGAGGAGCAAAAGCTGTGTTCCCCTTTTTATTATTTTCTACCAATAACTTGTGTGATCTCTGACCATACTGCAAATTATTGCTACAAACCTCATCTCAACGCTCCTGATATGGACTATACACTCGGATTGCGGATATGCACTAAATTCGCGTTTTGCATTCCACGACGAATCCCCGTGTCATACTTAATTTCGAAACGCGAATTCGCTACAAATATACACACGGATCGATTATCCACAGATCCGTTCCATTACTGGTATTCCCAGTTCGTTTTATTACATTGTTTTTATAGCCGACGAATTCCTTCGCAGATACTCCTTACACTTTCGCAGATGGTTTCAATCTTGATTTGACATAGATTAACATTATTTTAACCAGGCCAAAAAGCATTTCTCACAATGTACATTTTGTTGTTGTTGTTAAGTAATACAACAGTTATTATTACTAAATAGGTTTAATTGCTGAACTGTACTAGTACTAATTACAGATACACTTTAGTAATTTAAAAAACTAAATTTATTGATTTTTTATAACAAATTCCATTTAAAAGAAATTTATCTTTATAAGATCAAAATATTCATTACAATACAGCAGTGTTTATCAACCCTTATCACAAAGCACACATAAACCTATAGTTAAACTTCCAAAAAACACTTAAATTGTGATTATTGCAATAGAAGTACTTTATACGAACTGTCATAAAAGAAACGTTACAATAGTTTTTTTTTCTATAAATGATTCATTCAATATTTTCATTCAAATAGGAAATTTAATACCACTATTCTTTTAATCAAATTTTTCATATTTATTTCCATTGAAAACTTGCAAATAGAAAATGGTAACGTTTCTTTTATGACATTGTACATTATGAATTCAATGGTGAGACTCTTGTGGTGGCGTACCAGTTTTCAAACTATTCGTTACAAATTTCTATTTGAATTGATTATTTGCAGATAGGTTTCATTCGATTTACCATTCATTGGCATTTACTATTTATTTACTTTTATACTGTGTATTTATTAGAAATTCTTGAGTGCTTTGAAGTACGTTTTCGAGATTCATTTTGACATAGAAATAAAAAGAGGTCAACAGTTAGTTTAGGGAAAATTTAATTGACTCTCTTTAAAATTTATATTGCAAATCATTAAATTTAAAAAGTATTGATATTTTACTAATTATTTACAATATGCACTTATTTTACTTACTCTCTTAATTTAGGAATAAGAAAATGAAGTTTATGAATGGTTAAATTTAAGTTAATATTTAATTAATTATATTTTTTTATTTACAAAATTATTTTTAAATTTGTTTATAATTTAATTAACATAACATCTAATTTATATAATTTTCAGGTTTTTATTTCTAACTAATACTATTTATTTATGTAAGACTAATTACTTTATCAAACCTTTATTATATTGTTGTTTCTTTATTTTAATTGATAGCACCTCATTCCTTCCTCGTTAAAAACACGGTACCCGAGTGCCGTGTTGTAACGAATTTCTTGGAAACCTATGTGGTAACTATACGAGTATGTATGTTAACGGAGCTCGTATCCTTTATTTTTCGAAATTAGACGTCCAGACTCTGTTGATTGTGCACGAAAAGCAAAGGATCGTCGCTCCGGCGGATTCCTCAATTAGAGGATGGTTTTATTATTATTTTTTCTTCTACTTCTCCTCCTTCAATAGAACTTCATTGAATAGCGTATCCGTATTCTGTGGTCGCTTTTCTGAGAGCGCGAATAAGGAGGCTGTTGTTGCCGAAGAGAAGAACATATGTTGGCACGCGCAGGCATATGGCAAGCGTAGGATTCTAACGATTTTATTTCTATTTTTCAGCTTCGTTCATTATTCTTCCACTGTTTAGGCCTAAAGAAGAATTTGCACCGTAACGCCGATTGTTAAAGAAACAAACATCTTCGGAATAAAGGAATATTTTTCATACAGGTAAAATTGGTTTTCGAGTGGACGGAAAAGTCGTTAGAGTAATTATTAATTAAGCGTGGAATCCGTACGCGCTGGAGGCGATTTTGTATTTATATTAAAAAAAAATGAACGCTCAAAGCTGAGAATTGGAGGTGGATTGTTCACCTCGTGCTTGTTGTTTACCTAAAGACTGCTACGCGAGGAATAAATACACTAATGCTACTAACTAAAATGTTGACTGGTGTACAGTTAACTCAGCGATTCAATTAAAACGACATTAAATTCCGAGTCTGGATAAAAACGACGAATGAAATGAACAGAAGGTAAATAATTTGCTTCCACAACTATTTAATTTTTTTGTACAAATTTCTTCCTCCGCAGAACCTTTATCGAGTGCGCATAATGAATGCTAATCTGTTAATAAACAGAAACTTGTTTATTCTAATTATAATTCGAAACGGTGAAAGAATGAACAGAGCAAAAAAAATTCTATGTATAGTGAGCATGATGAACCGTTATTATCTCAAAATACGAAATTGGACAACAAACACACGGGCACTAATTAAAGGAAGAGTTGTGTATCGTTCTTAAATTCTTCTTACCGCAGAATGGTATTCCTTCTGGGATCCAGTGTCCGTTGATGCAGTACCTCTCGGATGGTCCGAGCAGCTCGAAGCCTCTCTCGCACACGTAGCTTGCCTTCGTGTTGTTTGCTATTTCTTCGCTGGAGAAGACGACGTGGGAATGAGCCGGTGCTCCTGGAAATTGGCATGCCTGTTCACCTGTAAAAGATAAAGAGGGAAAGATGAAACATTGATAGTACGAAACGCGTTCGCATTCGAAAAGGTTATTAAATTGAACTTTATAATTGAATTCGGGATGGAGATTTTCTCCGCTGCACTCGTGCACGGGATCATTATTTGTAGGTCAGTAGTACACGAAACAGCGTTTTATTACTATTTTATGCGCGCGGCACGCCAACTAGATGTATGACAAACGTTCTGCTGGATGGACAAACAAAATATTTATTCTTTTTTGGTCAATTTTCCATCCAAATTGCGACAATTACTTTTCGGATTTTTTGAATAAACCGATTTACGAAATTTAACTGTTTTTATTTATACTCTCGGAATTATAGATTTTTGTCTTTCAATTTTCAGTTTATCTTAATTCAGAACAGTTGATTTTGGGTAATCTTTTACTTATGCGTTACTAAAGACTAAATTTAAGTAAATATTATTTATTTGGTAGAAAGACACATGATTAATAGTTTTTTTAACAGAAAACATATTGACAATAAGACAAATTCTAATAATCTTTGAAATGAAAAAAAAAAGATGTAATTTAAGATTGTTTATTAGATAGTTATATAAATATTGCATGAATGAATGAAAACAAATAAATGTAACTTATATAATGAAAAATATACTTTTTTTGGATGAATTTTTTTTTTAGTTTAAACTGTTTTTATTTATGATTATAAAACATATTAAAATTACAAATATTAACAACATTTACCCATTTTTTTTTGTAAGAATCTGACAAAATGTTTGACAAATATTACGGTATAAGTATGCAAAACAAATTATACACAAAATATAGCAAATGTAACAAAATATAAAAATTAGGAGCATTTATAAATTAAAGATGCTTTGTAAATGATGAACTTATTTTCTGGATATGGTATAAAATTGTGTATATTATGTGCAGTAAACAAGTAAATAATTTCTTTAAATCTTTATTTGCTTAGTCTTGTTATGTTACTACTATAATGAAATTTGTACTTTTTATGTATATAATACTGTAATTTCCTATAGAATCAATAAATAGTAATGCAAATGTAGTAATTCCTATATCTATTGGATACATCAGTACAAGAAATCAATTACTTTATACTCAAGCGACAAAATTATCAAGATTAACTTATAAATTAGTGTCCGCATAAAGACCACTCGAATGCGAAGAAAGCTATTCCCGGAATCCATCTAGTGCGTCTTCTTCTCGAAGCGAGGAGGAAAGAGAAGAAGAAGAAAAAAACTTGCGATTCAAGTTTAGTGTTGTAAAACCGTTTGATGCACTTTTAAACCGTCGCAAAGTTGCGTTATGTCTACACATCGCCGGGCCCCGAGTTTACTTTTAAACCATATGGTTTAGGAGAAAATGCAAAATTAATGATCGCAGCGGAAAAATTGCATCCGCATCTGCCGTTGCCCAAGATGCTAATTGTTAGGCGAGCGTTGCGTAACCCAAACCGCACAGTTTGATTGAAATCGCGCTATCACAAAACCGCAATTAGCGAATTCCAAAATAAAAACAAACACTCTCAAAGCATTGGTAAACGATGATTTTTTTTTTGTCGTTCCATTTCTATAATTTTTGTTTTCTTCGCTTTTTTGGGTCAATTTGCATAAGAGGCGCATGGTGCAATTTGCTTTATGTTTTGGTTGCCTCCTCTACGTAGAAATCGCATTGTCTTGATGTAAACGCACATTTCGCGCTTCTTTCTCCGCACTTTAATTACACTAATCATATGCGCAACTTTCTTATTTCCAGTAATTGCTCGCTCTTCGAAGGGGATAGCATTTAACGGATCAATTTGCTTGGATGCGTTTCACTCCTGAGAAAGTTCTAAGGGTGAAAATCTCTAGCGATTTTGATACTGCTGGAGAAGGAGAAGAAGTAAAAACGTATCCAATTGCGGAGATGTGAACTTATAAATATTGTGGTATTCATTTGTAAAAGGGGAATCGCACCGGTTCCGCTCTGGATGGCGCCGTTTCCGGTTCTAGAAACGCACCTGCATTATTTTGTTCTCAGACAGGTGTCGACCACCAAAAAATACGTTAATTGGACACCTCTAAACTCTGTAAATCTACTACACAAATATTAGTATTGATATTAATATCATCTATAATGCGCATCTATACAATTTGCTCTGCGGTAACGCAGTTGTCATCTCCTGCAGGTGTTGTGTTACCATTCCGTCTGGTGGATGAAGAATAATGCAGGAATGTTGCGCGGATAACCGTAATTCAGCTCAATTTCTCTCCTTCTCGGTGCGTTCGCGTTTTGCAAGATGTGGAGGATCGGCGTTCGTAGCGGTGTTCGAAGGGACTTGGCACCGATTGAAAATTGCCATATTACAGTAACCGGTAGTTCGAATCCTACAACTACTTCCAGCACGTGCCATCATCATCCACTGTTACCACTATTCAACAAATTGCACACCGTGCACGTATTCTCTTTCAAGGCACGCAACGTTAGTCGGAAAAGACGATCAACTCGTTACCAAATTCGTAAAACAATTCAATCAATTATCCAATAACCGCTTGTCTTCACTATGCACTATTATTTAACAAACACCAGCAAATCTGCAGATTTATGCCAAACGTCTTGTTAAATTTTCTATATAGATTATATAAACATTTCACTTAGTCAGTTACCATGGTAATTAACATAAAGAACTTTCATCAACATAAATTAAACATGAAATCATTAATAAATAAATTGTAATAAAACCTATCTTTCTTTAGCAATTAATGATTAAGTTTCTGTGTTACTGAAAATAATTCTATTAAAAAAAAGTAATTATTGTTCAAATTCAATTAAAATAGAATATATCATTACATAAATTCCTAATTTTGTAAAGTTTCAATTCGAAAGACATTTGAAGAATAACCAAATGAAATTAAATGTTTTCTTTTTTAATTAGTGCGACATGGAATATTTATTTCTTTTCCGTGAAATACTGCGAATTCTGTGACAAAATTACAGTTATAAAATAAATTATACAAATTAGAAACCAAAATATGATTCAGTAAAAAAAAGCTTACGGACTTTCTTTTCCCCAGGTATAATAATAAAAAAAAGGTATAATAATAAAATGGAATTGAACGTTAAAAATATAGAATGCTGTAAACAATTATCTTGTTAATTATGTATGTAAATACTTAAAAAAAATTGCTTCTCACAACAACAGGAGAAAACTTTTAGCAAACCAATTTGATATTGTTATATTGGTGTGAAATACTTTCAAATTTTCGATTCGAACAATTCTATTCATGTACCGAAAAAAATATTAGTTGAATTAAATTTTTAAGGAAACAATATTAAATATAATTAAATTTTGGATCCACCAAATAATTTATAGTTTTCAGATTATTATTACAGTTATAATTATAATTTTGTACAAATAAATAAAGTGCAAAAAAGATAAATAATTGCGATTATTTTTGTATATATGTTTTTGTTATATTTACACAATAATTTAATACTGGTTCGAGGCAGTTTATATCTCGAATTTGACTCGATTCTGTAAGTGTCACACATTACGCCTTGGTGTTAACAATACTCTTGTATGTTTTCAGGACTGGAATATCATTTAAATACATTAATTGCATTCTAAAGTTCAATAATCTTAATAATAAAATTATTTAGTTCAAAATCCAACGTTTTGTAAAAAAATAGAAATATGATCAATGATTAATATAAAAAATTGAGTATATAAAAAATCAATTCAAAATTGAAAAACATTATAATATTAGTGACTTTTTATGATATATTAGTTTAATACTAGTCTTATTTAATTTAAATATATTTAAATACAATTATTTTAGTATGTAATTAGCAAAAACCTGTGAATTACATATAATAATATTAAATAAAATACAGTATAACTGTTGTAACTTAGTGGTATCATCGCGACATGAAGCTCGTGCTTGGAGGCAATTACCGAAGGAAAAATAAGACAATCACATCGGAAATGGCATGCATTTTATTTTTGCGATACACCACTGTAGCAAACAGAGTGGAAAATTTATCAACACATTTCCGAGCGTTTTTGTCTTTGCAAAAAAAAACAACAACAATAATAATAAAAGGAAATAGAGAATAAATGCACACCAAGAAACGCGCGTTTCATCGTTGAAATGTTACTTTCAAACTTATGCGAATAGTAGGATATCCTACTGTATGCAAATCAAATGGAAATGCACTTTCAGATTAAATTGGTCTTTAATAAGAACTAAGCAATTGCTGTAATTGTAGTTATATAGCTTTTTTCTCATTGATTCGTACATAATTATTGAATGTTGTTAATATATTTTAATAATAACTAAAACACTAGTTAAATATATATAAAAACAATATATTTGTGTAAGAATAACAATAGTTCATTTAATTTCTTACATTCATCCATTATTAATCAATTTATATTAGTATTTACTAAATTATATTAACACTAATAAAGAAATTAATCTTAGACTATTTTCTAATAAATGTTGCAAATACATTAATATCTGAAAATGTGAACTTTTTATTATTATAAACATATTATTTATCCTATTAACAATATTCTGTTATTGGTCAAGTCGTGTTTAATATTGCAAAGTTTTGAAATAAATTTGACTGTCTCTTATTATTTTATATGTGTATGCAACTATAATTAAGTTTTTTAAGTACATTGTTTCATGATAAGGTATGACTGATAGATTTTTCAAGTTACATTTAAAATCATCATATCATGAATGATCAATTTTTAACATCTATTAATGGACAAGAACTGTACAATTTTTTGATAAAATTGTTTGTCTAAAGAAATGTAATAAAAGAGAATTTGAACGGTTTTTATTAGAAATAAATCAACTTTTAGAAAATTATGTTCCTTTGCTTTATTGACATGTGAAGAAAATTTTGAAAATTTTACCATTAGGGAGAATAAGTTAAAAAAATAGAATTGGTTTGGGTTACAATTAGAATATATGTACTTTAATAGTTGCAAGTCTGAAGATCATTTGAATTGTTGTTATTAAAGTTTGTTAAAAGTTTTTGAAATTTATATCGGTTAAAATAGTGAATAAAGTTTTGAAAGTCTTACCATTGGTTAGGGCAATAATCCCAATAAATAGAACCAGGGCTTGAAGAGGCCCAACGCACTTACACCGCACCATGGTTAGTGTCTCTATGCTCAGTAACGATCTGATCGAATCTGTCGATGAGAAGTCGCGATCGAAAGAAATGGAAACAAGTGGATGTTGTTGTTGTTGATGATGATGATGTTGTTGAGGAGGAAGTGAGTGTTGCTAGTGTCGTGTTCGCGCTTGGACTGAAGAAGCGGTGAAATGGTTTCGCGGTCGAGTGTCGAAGTCTGAAGAAGAAGAGGAACCAGGCCATGCACTAGCTGGTCGGTTGGTGGTAAAATCAAAGAGCGGACGCACGGCGTGTGACGAAGCCGGTGAGGAGAGCACATATAGCATGCCCACACCACTTTTCCCCAAAAATTGCCGTACACCGAACACTTGTTTCTCTTGAGGTAGGTAGGATCGATTGTGACGTGATGGAGAGTCGGAGGGACGGACATCGGTGTGCTCACGAAGAATGCGTTTTATGTAGGATGGCCATTCGAATTGTGTATTGTAGGCCGTGGACGTGTTTCCTACGATTCGAGGAATCCGCACACACATCACACACACATTCAGCCAATCTTAACTGTTAAATGCAAAACAAATTTCTCTTCGTCCGAAATTGTATGCATATAAAAAGAACAACAGAACAAGAAAGAAGGCGAACGCGTAAACTGGAAATGTCACGGAACTAGTTGAGTAATTAAATAATCCTGATTCACTATACACATCAGATTTCTTTTCCGGCAATATTTGCAACATGCATACTAGGAAAGCCACGAACAAAAAAAAACTAAATCTGTATCGTCTTCATTGAAAAATATCGTTACAGAAATATTACAACATTTTCCAGAAATTGCATTTGCTTACAATACAAAATATAATTGTTGCTAGAATTTGAACTGAATTAAATTATTTAAATAAATTTTAAAACTTTGAATTATTATATTTCAAATTTATTGTGAATATTTGCAACATAAAGAAGGCTGCAAACAAACAAAAGTCAAAAGTCGTCTTCATTAAAAAAAAAATGTTATAATACTGAATCAATTATTCTATATAGTCAATTATTCGTGTGGTTCAAAATACAATAGTATAATTACATTTCAATAGAATTGAGATAATTGTTAAAAGAAACAAGTATTTTGTGCTCTATGTCAAATTATAAGACAACCCTTTTTGTTGAAAATTTCGGGTCTAAAACTGCTTTTTCACTTTTCGGGCCCCAAAATTAAGATGCATCTTATACAAGGGATTGACTTATACTTGCCTTAAATATTGTAGTTAATACAAAAAAAAACTATTTGAATGAGATCAACACCAGGAAAATTTCATTAAAGCTAAGTTTATATTATCGTCAATACGAAAATAGAATAGACTATTCAAATAGAAAGAAGAAAAGTGTAAATAAAATGTAAATATTTAATTGTAAATTGTTAAAATAAAGGAGTGTAGAGCAAACAGTAATGAATAAATAATTACAGAAGATTGTTAAAGTTAAAAAAGAACTAATCATACTTAAATATATTGTTAATTGATTAAAAAATAATATAAATTTGATTATATAATAATTAAAACTATAAATTAGAATGTAAACTCTTTTAATTAATCAGATAAATATTGATACAGAAAATCAAATATTATATTTGTACTAAATATTAAGACCTAATCAGTTTTCTTTTAAATTCTTAATTTACAGTCTGTTTTATTTAATACTCCTTTGTGCAAAACTTTCATTTACAATTATAAGCTTAAGAGAAGACATATTATCCTAATATCTGTTAAAATGTTGTCTAACTGGCAATGAATTCGAATGCAAATCGAGACTATCTTCATATTTCCTGCAAAGAGTTTCAATATCCCCTCCAGAGATTTGATTAAAAAATATCTTGATTGAACCTTAATAATTTTGAAAATATTTTTTAGTATATTTTATGTTCTTGCTTTTCTCAATTTGCATATTAAACATATTTCAAATCTATATCCAAATATGTTTTAATTTTAAGTTATCGCCAATAGTTTTTTTTTATATTAATTTTCCAGTTTTTACCTTTTCTCTGTATAAGGTTTAAATCAGATTGATCTTATAAGTGTGTAGATAAATATATTACTTTGTAGACACTTCTTGGGTAAAAACGACATGTGTTGATATTATTTATTTAATAAACTTCGTCGTTGCTTTAAGTAATTTCAACATTTCATATTTTTATTGTAAGAATATTTAATGTAAAGAACTGATACATAATAATGATAACACCTGTGAAGAGTACATATTTTTTTGCGTTTTCATACATTTATTTATTATATACATTTCAACTGTTACAATCCTCGTAGGAGATTCTTAGTTTGAAGTTTTTGACCCAAAAAAAATGAGAATTTTTCTTTACTGATGTTACTATATTATGTCTTCTTTTAACACACACAACATTCTTAATTCTGAATTGATATTGTTTACATTTAATTCTATTCACATTAAATATAGGTAATATATAATGGGTCCAACAAAAAAGCTAAGTTGGCATTAATTGGTTTGTTTCTTAATTTGTTAAAGTTTAACGATATTTCATATTAAATTTCAAGAAGATCGGTAAGAATGGATTGGTAGAATTTCCACCATCAACGTAGAAAAAATATGTTTGCCTTAAAGCTATGCAAATTTTCCAGGAATGCCAAAATGGAGTGAATGCGGGATGATGCGGGTGACTATTTCCAAGTGGTTTCAAAGATTTCAGACCGGATATTTTTCTGTGGAGAACGAACCTCGTGAAGTTGCCCGAAATCTTAGACTGATGATAGAAATGTAGCCTTGGTGAAGACAAACATCGACAAAGATTCAAGAGTGACACAGGAAATGGTAGTTGATGAAATAGGCATTCAACCATGGCTTTGTCGCAAATGATGACCAAATAAAGGCAAATCTGATTGAAGCCGCACTATGCGAGGTATTCCTGTATCTAATAATTTTGTACCAAAGTGGTGTTGTTCCTTTGCTATGGATAAAGGTGACTGGTAAAATTCTTATTTGCAAGAAAAATACGTCCAAAGAATACTACAGGAGGCTTCAATATGTTGTTACTGTCTGCTCGTTTTCTGTTATAGATGGTATCGAACTGCGTGCGAAGAGCACTAGCATTTTTTATTTACATACATTTATTTATTATATACATTTCGTATTCCGCTGCTATATTCCTCGTGGGAGATTCTCTTGGTAAGATATTTTAGCCCAAAACACTTCAGGAAAATTCAATTCCCCACAATTCTTTCAATACAATTTCAATGATATCAAATGTTGAAATGTTTAATATTCATAACACTGTATTAAAACCAGGAACGAAATATTAATTGATGCATTGATGGCAAATTGTATCCCGTTATGGAATATGGAAACTATATGGAATAAAATTTGATTTATAATTTACTGTTACCGTATTATTATTCAAATTTTACCAACCAAAGTAACATTCATAAATTTGCCAAAAAAAAAACATATTAAAATCAAACAACATTTTCGGTTATTATATTTCTCTTTTTATACAATTAATAGTAATACCTCAAAATTTCGAAACAAATTGTACACAAAAATATTTTTTCTATATATACAAATGATCGATTTATTTCCGTTATACAGTTTATAGTGGTTCAATTTGTTTGCATTTAGTTCCTCGATTAGTCCGGTTTCAAACAGTGCAGAACCGATTACACTCACTATGCGAGGTATTTCTATAGAGCATTTATTATAATTACGTAATATATATTTTTCTGTTCACATTTTGTCAAGTAGTTTATTAAATAATGCAATAAAATAGTTGGTGCAAAGTAGGGCAATGTAGTTACAAAATAATACTAAAATTAATGCGGAATTATGAAGGTATTTGCAATGATACTGATTCAAAGAAATAAAAATTATTAGTTTAATGTAATGACGTCAAATAAAACCGTATTTTTTAACCTCTGGTTAGATCATCGGCGTCATTGGAATATTTGGTGAAAATATCGAATATGCTTTGAAACGAGTTTCCTTTTTCTCTATTAGTCATCTTAAATCTCTCCGTAATCGGAATACCGATGATATTTACATTATACAACCTCTGCGCCGAAGAGATTCCTACGAACGCTGCCGCACCAAATACTTTCTAAAGGTCCGGTTTTCCCTCACGGAATCTCTTCTAAATGAATAGGATGCATGTACTCATGCATGAGCAAATGTAATGACCGTTCTCACCAGAATGCAGTATTATCTGCAATGAATTAGAAACATCGTACATTCATACCTTTTATGTATTATTTAAAATTTATTAATTAAAAAAAAATCAAACTTTTCTTTTCTTATCCACGCAAATTATTTGTCATAAAATGTTATTTAGTTGAAGGAATAATTTTCAACACTTTCCAATAGATTTTCTCTTTAAATCATGCATATATAATTCACAATAAAATTTATTTGCCAATTTTCAATTATACACAATGAAATTATTCATATGTATTAATATTTAAATTGATTACATGCATTCAATTATAGAGTTATTTTTAGCCATTCACTTTCCTTTAATACACTTTTTTTCATTAAAAAGAAAATCCAAGTAATTAACATTATTATTAAAACTGGAAAGAAAAATAATTTCTATAGAATATTTTCATTAAGATATAATTTTTCACAAAATGAAATTAATTAATTTAACTTTTCTTTTATCTAGATGATATAAATTAATTTTTCATTAACAGTTAATCCTATACCACACCACGATTAATTGGAGCCGCGTAATATAAAAATCGCGTTATGATAAACTCAAAATTATTACAAATCAAGATTAAATTCCAATTCTTTACCCAAATTAAATCCCCTTTTTACTTCATTAAAATTGAAATCCATTCTTTATGTATAATCTTGTTCACCAATGCTTTCGAGAAAGATTTATCAATTAATAGTATCAATTCCTCTTCATCTAAACTTTAGATTCTAAAGTCTCTTAACGAAATAGTTCTTAAGGTTATATAAGTTATAGAAGAACTGTGTATTTGTTATCTTATTCTTATAAATTTCATTAATTAATTTCATCTGAAACTTATAAAAAAGTTTTAATTAAAT